GGTCCCTTTCATAAGGGTGCCGTACTATTTTGAGGACCTAAAGAGGGACCCTAATCTGGAGAACTACCTATATGGAACGCCGCTACATGCCAAGAAACTTTCGCGCACCACCAGCGGCAGACCTTTACAGTAGTCTGGCGGTCTTAATCTACCGACTGTTGTTTCTGATTTGGCAGGCACAAGAACTAAATTCTTTCGGAGTTTCAGACCACAGGGGATTTCTGTGACAGGACTCTGCATTGCAGAATCCTTCGTAAAGAACCGCAGCTCGGACCTCGACCGGGTAGATGCACTTTTCTGGTATCTGCTTCAACGCAGTGTAGGGTTCGGGGTGAAGGGATTCGCAAAAGGCACCTTAGTATAGTCTACTCCCAAATGATCATAGTAGCTGCCCCAAGCCCCAAAGCCTAGCCGCCTGCCATCCCTCTGCCTGCGAAGTTCGAAAAACTCCCTCAACCAGGGTGGACAGCAAAAACAAGGTTCCATGACGCCTGAGCCCTAGGCCTTACGCCCCTACAGTTTCAGGGAAATCCGATCAAGGCCTGGGTTCCCGTCCGTAAGCCCTGAAGTGAATCTTAAACATAGGCCTCATAGTAGTTCCTTTGTGGGGTTCATATTTGGAATCCTATAAGGTAATCCCGAAAAAAACTAATATGGGGCCTATGGGTAAATATAAACCTGAATGCATTGAAGGGCAAACCCTACACCCGCAGCTGCTGTAGGCCGGGCCTGTCTTGTTGAAGAGAATGCACCTGGCAGCTGCCAGTTCATTGGGGGCTTTGAACTTTTGGGTTTGGGTGAGGCATTTCAGGATGTCGGCGTTTTGGGGGCTCAGGGCTTCTGCTTGCGAGCAACCCTCCTGCAAACGAGCAATCCTCAAGACTCAACTCGCAACCCTGATTCGAGATCCTGAAGTCATAACCCATTGCAAATCTTAAGAACGCTCCGCAACTCACTAATTGTTTTGTGGACGCAGAGGTTGCAAGGGTCAAGCTGCCCCGACTTGAGGAAGGCCTGAAAAAGCTCAACGCTAAAGCTTGAATTGGACAAGAGTTCTCCCCACGTACCCTAAATTCTGTCTATGAAATCCACAACCCCTACAGCTGCTACTAGACGTCCACTAACAGCACGGTGTGGCTGGTGGCGGCTAATGGCCTCGGACCCAAATCATTGGAACATGCTGTCGGGTATGTTACGGTACTGTTACAGTGTAACCGAATAGAACATGCTTTCGGGTATGTTACGGTACTGTTACAGTGTAACCGAATAATTACTTGGGGACTAGAAGGGGGCGCTCTTTTTCACTACTCTGACCTCCATATCATTATATTGCCGAAGGACTATGAGCGACCAAGGCGCTTGCCCACGACAACAAACTCAGGGCCGCCACCCGCGGGCCAGCGGGAATGCAGGGAGCAAGCCTCCGTTCACTGTCTCATTTTTCTGTCGACTACCAGCCGCTATCAACAATTGAATGGAGTTTACTGCCTCCCCCCCCCCCCCCCCC